TACATACTGCTCCTTCCTTAGGAGGCCGCCAGCATCTGCTGCAGGCCATGAAACCTGGGGAAAAAATATAAGATACCGAATCCCAAGTTCTGATGAAATGCAATAAAACTTAATGACACGAAGCATTCATTATATATGCTTAAAGTAGAGTCTCTCCTGCAATGTAGGCACAGCCATACGCCTCTGCATGTTACAGATATAGTTCTTCAGGAGGATGAGCTACTCTGTATAATTAAGCATTCCAGATCCTTGAAATTAGTATTTTTGCACATATGTGATAGCACTGCTGGGAGGCTGGTGCATTCGTTATCCAGAGTCTCAGAGACCTCCTTCCACCTTCTAAATCACCTGCTCAGCCTCAGTCTGTAAAGCACTTCAGAAAATGTCCGGCTTAAGACATGTGAGATTAAGTCCATGAATCGGTTCATCTATGTTGGCAGATAGTTTTAAGAAGTTTGTGAAATTTTGAAGTACTCGAGAATATGCAGACAAAATAGTGCAGTCCAGACGTTGCTGTTTTTACCCACCAAGCAATACTCATGCAAGAAAAGAGGCTAATGTGAATCTATTCAAATTTCTTAAACCCCATCCACTCCTGCTGCTGGTTCTCATTCTTTATGAGCCGTTCCTATTCAGATGAATAACAGACTGTAATTCAGGGTATTATAATAAACAGATAGGGCCCATAATAATGTATTTCAGTTAGGAAGAGGCACTTGAAAGAAATTGGTTTTGCTATACACATGATGGGAGACAATCAATAGTGCTTTAGTCTGACAAGCACTGTCAATATCCATTGTCACAGTCCAGAAAGTCGTTAATGGATGGTTCTCCAAAATCCGATGCTTCCAACACGTGTTGAAAGTGCTCGGATATACTCTACCTGGCAGGAATTAATCATAGGTAGACCCTCGAGATTTTGTATAAGTGTTTTGTGAATTCGAAGTGAGAGAAAAGTCCTTGGGAGGAATGTGAGATCACGTTGCGTGGAGGTAGAGGGCACGGAGATCTGAATCACGCGGGCCCTGCCCAGAGGATCAGGCCCGGGGAACATATTGTCTATGTACATGATTTGTGCTTAATTTTCTCTGCTGAACTCACACGCAGTAGTCACATAAAGAATTATGGTCCTTGCCCCGAAGAGGCCGGAGCCCCGTCTGGTTCCTTAGTTGGGCCCGTGCCAAGATCCTGGAGAAAGGCTTTGACAGCTTCGCCATGCAGCTATGTTGGTCACTGCTTAAGCCTATTTACACTATATTTATTCTCATTACCTCGTATATACAATAGAGTGCATTAAAATATAGCAGTTCTTCATCTGCAGATCTCAATACTTCCATTGATTCTTATGGGGCTTTTGCTGTTTAATTGTGTGATTCAAACATAATCCATTGCTTCGTTTTCCCTCCACCTGTCTTCTTGTCCTCTTAAAGCTCTTGTATTCACTTTGTTTTCCATCATTTTGCATAATAATCCTGTAATTTATATATTATTTGAAATATTACCGTTAGTGGTTAGGAGATAAATTAATATTGAGAAGATTTGCATAGGGCAAAAATACAGGTCAGTTTTTTTCCTGATGCTTTTTTTTTTATCTGAAATGTTTAGCTTACAAAATTCAGGTAAAATTTTTAAAATGTTATTAAGCATTGAGGGCTAGAGGAGTGATGTTTCCTTTATTCCAAACCAAACGTTCTGTTCGTACTGTTTTCTGCTATTTTCTTTTTGTACCCCTTCTGTATGACACTTCCCTAATGTGATAAGTTCCTGTGATTCTAATACAGTTTAATTCTACAGCAGATAGTTGCCTGAGGAAAGATCTTGCTTTTTATTATTATTATTAATCTGTTAACAACTTTTTCACCTGTGGAATAAATAAATATTTAATATGGGACCAAATCCTGCCTTAGTAATGCTTTTGCTGCTGGGTTGAAGTGTCCTGCACCCATTTCCAGCAGGAAAAAGTTGGTCATAATATTGTACTTTCTGCTGGGGCCAGCTTTGCAAATATTATAAAAGCCCATGGCCCAACAAGGACAAACATGTGTTTTCTTTTTCTGTTTCACAAGTGATAAATTATTAGTGCAAAATAACAAATTATTAATTGAAGAGTTTGTATAAGGTGAGAGGATTTATGCTTCTGTTTGTTGTGTTGGTTTGGAAGCATTTGTGTGGACCTGTTAGTGCAATTAGATTCAGAATTTGTCTGAGAATATGAATTTATTCAGTGTGATGAATCAAACAAGATCCATAGGTATTATATGCTGGAGAATATGAGAACAAGCAATAGATTTACTTTGCTTTTTTTTTATTTATAAGTGTCCTATTCTACTTCTGTGGGAAGTGTTTCCTACTTTTGTCTGTTGCCAAACTCTCATTAATGAAAAATTCATCTGGCTAAACCCAGAACCTGAAATTTAAAAAGGAAGTTACTACTACTACTAAAAAGAATTTCACCGTGCTTTTTTCTTCTTCTGTTTTTTAACTACATTTGGTCCTTCGTCTGTCTCTAAATACAAAAGCAAGGCCATTTTAACATGGGGATATTGTGAGAATGCTTTGGCAAGAGAAAGGATGTTTCTATACAGGAACCCAGCAAGAATATTTCTGGCTAAGCTTGATTTTGGAACATACTTTCTAAACCCTTGAATTTCTGGGAGGCTTGGAGTTTTCCTCTGGTGACTCACACATGCTTAATAGAATAAAATAAGAAATTCATCAAAATTGGCTTTACTGCAGTTTTTAACTCAGTGCTATACAGTCCAATATACAAAAGTATCCCTGACAATAATTATTCCTACCTCTAGATGTAGTTTTAACACCATAATTGCTGTTTCAGGTATAAAGCTTCCAACTGGGTTAATGCATCTTTCTCTGTAGGACCGTGTTAAGTTCAGTTAAAATATCTTAACAAATCTGGTGGATACTTAAGAGTAAGAATGTAGTTTAAGTGAGCATAAAACATTTCCAAATCCTGCGGAAAGGGAAAGGCAGTAAGCGACTTAAGTGACTGACTTAGACATTTTCACTCCTGCAACATTTGTACAGGGAAAACATCACTGAAAGTAAGGAAAAAGCAAACCTAAACATGAATTGCTACAGACAGAATGACCCTAAGCAATAAGAGAGTCGCAAAACTAAATGCAATTCACTTCACTGTTACAAAGTACCATTAAGATGCAGAATTAGAAACATCCATTTGTTGTTCTTTTTATAGCACAGCCAAGTGACTTGGAATTTTTGCTTGTCCCTGCCAAGGATTGCTCAATTTTGAACAAAAAGTCCTAAACTATAATGTTAAAAAAGCACCAATCATCAATCGAATGCTAATCTCTATATTCTATGATACAGCACTCCAAGAATGCTACCATTAAAAAATGTGAATTCTATTTTTCATAAGTGATGGATTATTGTACCAAGCCGTGTGTTTTCCAGTAAAGTGTCCTTTTATTTGTCCTGTGTGATTACTCGTTTGTGGAAGTATGTGTGGGGTCATTTTAGTGCTGTGGGAAAATGGAGCACTCTTCTGTTAAAATCAGTAGTGAAATCAGAAGCAAACTATGCTCTGATCATCACAGGCATGTGTTTAAATATTGCTTTCCTTAATTGGCTATGTTCTATTTACTTAAAATGAACAATTTGGCAAGTTTTTCTCCCTTGACAACAGCAAAGCGTAAACCATTTTATAAGTTTGGCTGTTAAAATCAGATTTGTAATGTAAACCACAATATTCCAGGGTTGTTACTGTTGCTTAACTAGTTATTTTTGCTTGCCATTGTTTTATAATTGTGCACCTTTAAACATTCTGGTTCTGTTTACGGCTTATGCAAAAGTTCTTGCTACAAAATAGCCTAATGATTTAGGTCATGATTTTCTCTCTCTTCCGTTGGATCGTGGTACAAGGACTACTGAATTATAAGGGAGATTCGGTCTGGACAGGGGAGCATTTCTGTGACCACAGCCACGTTATTCAGCGCTGCTATAGAGAGATTCTCTTGAAGGGACACTGGATCAACTCCTGCTAGATCAGCTTGTGGTGAATGCTCCATTTTTACGGATTTTTCTTTTTTTTTTCTTGCAAGAGAAGAGGGAAAACTGTTCTTTCCTCAGTGCATTTTGGATAAGTGGAAGGCAGTAAAGAGGAGCCTTGCCCAGCAAGCAGAAACCAGCTTCCTTTAGCTTGAGACCCTTGCTAGGGTCACCTTGCAAGGATGACCTGGTCTTGAGCGCTCAGCTAGCACCTCCTCGGGTGTCCCCTGCTGTTCTCCTTTCCACTAGTACCTCCTGGTTTGAAAGCCGTGGTGGTTCCCTGTAAGCACCTCAGCAGAGAAGAAGTTAAATTTATGCCTTCGAAACTTCCTCCGGGGGATTTTTTGCAGCTGGCTTCTACGTCTTTTTGACACAGAGCAGGAATAAATCGAGCTCAAAATGTTTCTCAGCTTGGTAAATGCCTAAATATAATAAAATATAATCATTAGAACTGGAATACTTCTCCTTCCATAAATTAATGCATCTTGCACACATTTCATGGCATATAGCCATGTTTTCTAAAACTGCATTAAATATATATGTACACATATATATATAATGCTTAATCCATCTTGGCAAGAGAATTCGGTCCTTCACTAGTGGTGTGACCATCCTTCCTCCCAGCGAGTTGCCTTTAGCTAACAGGGCAGAGCCCCCCTTCATGCGGGGCTTTTAGCTGAAAAATCATCCGTGTGAAACTTGTGGGATTCATGGACACTTCATGAGTAAACTGGTAGCCATCCAAATACTCGTGAGCAATAAATAATACGACTCAGAGTAGCCAGCAGAGTGAACTCATCATGTTTATTCACAAAAATATTCATCAAACACTCTGTACTATCCAACTGTACCACTGACCTACCGCGCGAATTTACTTAGGTGGCTGTGGCCGCTGTTCGTGAGGATTTTTGAACAAAGTGCAACTAGTTTAAAAACTTACATTCACTGAAACGTTCTCTTTTGCTTGCTTTTAGTTTTCAGACTGAACTACAGTGCATCTGATACAAATGACAGAAATCGAGTTAAAAGCAGATTAAAGAAGTTTATCTCCCGAAGACCCTCCTTGAAAACACTGCAAGAAAAGGGACTTATTAAAGGTGTGTTCTGTCTTATATACTTTATTTGGAATAAACACTAAAAAATTGTGAATTAATTTTTCTTTTTCTTTCCCAGTTAAATGAATATGTGCACTGGACAAAATAGTCCTCATTCGATATCTTTTTCTTGCTGTACCTCAAAAAGTGCACCCTACTGGATTGTACTGAATATGCTTATGTATTATTTGACTAGATATTCAATTTTTCTGCTTTGGTGTGCATGTGGTGGAAGCCCCTCCATTTAATGCAGTCGCTCACCGTGAACGCCGCAAATCAACATGCTGCACAGCTCCATTTTCTTTTAAGAAAAGGCCCTTGATATATTTTTATATTTTAGAATAAGAAATAAGAACTTGGAATGCTGTGTTGACTGATTTATTTCATAGGGTAGGCTGGAGTCCTTTCTGCTGTCTTCTCTCATTATTTTTCTAACTCACCAACAAAATACATTTTCCCAATTTTAACAACTTAAAATACTTGCCAGTGAATAATAACTGTTTTGAATCCAGGAGGTTTTCGTACTCCAATTTCTTTCTAAGTTGGTCAGACACTGCTTTTGCATTTCCTTAAAAAAATGGAATCTTGGATGAAAATAGTTTTCTGGTTGATCCAAGGAATAAGTGTTTTCCTACGAAGCTGGTAGTTAACTTGAAGGCAGTAGCACTCTGACCACTAATAATCCAGCAAAGCCGTGTTTTCAAATATTGTCTGGAATAATGCTTTAAAAATTTACGCACTCCCAAATTATTATGTGTGAAACCCACAACTGCTCATGCAAATGGGCTCGGAAGAGGCGCTTTGCCAGCAGCCCCTGTCGATCCCTGGTACGTGAGTTTTCCAGGGGTTGTCAGAAATGGCCTGGCCAGTTCCAGGGTGTATTGAACTGCTCCGTCCTCAGCCAGCGCCGGGACCCCAGCTGGGCCCATGTCTGAGAGAAGGATGAGCGAATTCTGGGCTAACTCCATGCGTTTTGGACACCTACCAGCGTGTCCAGGGCGGTGTTATCTAAGGAAGTCTGCTAAAGCACCTAAACATTAGGAGGTCCTCGTGTGCCTTAACCACTGCCTTGTGCTGCCACAGTCCATGGGCACTCCGGTATGGACAGGTCACAGTGTCACCCAGCTTCCCAGGTCTGTCCCTAAATGACGACAGTACCTAATTGTAACATGCGGCAGGGACTTTTTTCCTATTTGAAGGTCCCTTTGGGTTGCAGGTAGGATTTGAATGTATCACGTTGGTTTGTTTCAGTTATTACAGTAATAGAGTAATAATTTACAGTCTTTTAATTTCTGGATTTAGGTTTTTTTTTTTTTTTTAGCTTAATAAAGTGTGGCTGATGAATCTCCTGCGGTGTTACACAGGGATCAGATGTGATCCCTGCTAACAAATCCAGGCTCATTAGCATAACTCAAATGCACCCTCTAATATATCTCTCTAGGCAAGGCAAACCCATTTGGTTTTGGCTATTTTCTCATTAAGCTCTTGATTCAGAAACAGAGTTGGGTCCTACCTGGGAGGCTCCTCTATGGGCTCCTGGTACTCTGCATTTTGTTGGGCACAGGGACTCAGAATCAGTGCCCTGCACAGTGTTAATACCAGAGTAATGTTACTTTGAAGAAAACACGTTAGTTATCTACCATGAAGTTTCATTAGGATTAGGTTTGGGCCATGCAAATGAGGCAGGATTCGTTAGCAGGGCTTAATTCCAATCTACGGTAAGTCTATGTGAAATGCTCATTTGATAAGGTTCCTTCATTGTCTTCAGTGGAGTTTATCCCTTAATCTGTTAAAATGTTATGAAAATGCAGTTGCAGTGCTTATGCAGAGGCCACTTTTAAATGTTAATTTTTAGGCTTGCATTAGAATATTTTTTTAAATCACAAAGTGCAACCCTCCAGATTAAAAATGAAAAGCTTGCCAAATTTCGTATTAAAAAATGCATCTATTTATTTTTCTAAAGGTGAATTAAACGGTGGCAGAAACATCTCAAAACTATTTATTTGCTCATTTCTTAGGGGGAAAAAATGTTAACCGATTTTTACAAGAAAAAATTCCTCCAGCTCTGAGAACATGCACGCTAACTTCTATTCCATGGGGAAAGACTTCTGTCAGGATTGTAAATCCCTTAAAATAGGGGCTCGTAATAAAAGTGTGTCTAAAGCCTTGCAGGACATCTTGGTACCAAATTTTTGACAAAGAGCTGTTCTGTGTGCTAGTGAAGAATTGATATAAATATCTATGAAGCGTGTGGTGTTAATTACTCCAATGCAGTGGCACTGTAGATGCTGTGAAAAACCTTCACTTTTCATCAAGTGCTATTCATATTTGCCAGGGGCACTATAAAGCTCTCAAATCTATATTGATTTTTTACATTGTATGTCACATTGGAACCAAAACTCCAATAAATTTAACACGTAAATTATAGTCATGAGTAAATACATTTTAAGGTGGTAAGTTCACTTAAACACGGTTCTGTGCTCTGTTAGTCACTGATGTGTGCGCTCTTGGCCAGAAGACTCGACACATTTCTCCGCATTAACCAAATTTGGGAATACAGGCTTCAAAATTAAATAGCAGTTTGATCTCCTGGGGTACTTTGTTCTGCCAACACTATTATCAGGAAATCTAGAGATTATGTGATTGTCATTTAACTCTTAACAAAACTTTGTTTATGTAGTATGTATCAAATGTCTTCGGAATAAGTAACAGAAGCAGTTAAAAAATGGGAAGTGTGAGAAGCAGAGGGATAATAATCAGACAAGGGAATGTCAGAGAGCAATATGTAAAGGTTATTTATATAAATGAAAATGAAGATGTACCAAACCTTTACGTGACAAAAAGAAGTTATTTTTGCCTGAGCTGTCCCGTTTGCTCTCTAGCACGAGGGCAGAGCCCGAGGAGCACATTGGCTCCATTCATTGCACCAGGCCGGCTCTATGTGCCTATTTATGCTTCAGTGAAAACTCTAATGAAGATTGTCACATCTCATCTTTCCCTCTCACTTGTGTGTGTGTGTGCAATCTTTGGTGTAGAGCATTTCGAATCGCTTTGGAGATGGGGGGTAATACAGTAAGTGCTTTGCATGACAGGACCGTGGCTTGTGTTTGCATGCACACGAGCAGCAAAACAGTGAGCAAGGGCCATGTTCCATGTCTGTCAGCTCAACAGCCTTGCTGCAACAGGAGCTGTGGTCAAATTTATATGCTAGGGCAGGGGTCTCCTGTTCCTCGGGATTGAAATATTCCCAGAATTTACAGAATCTGCACTAATATGCTAGAAAAATAACGTATAAATCTTGTCTTTTAAAACTGCTTTATAGTCTATAAGTGAACTTTGATCTTTTAGTTTGAGCTTTGTCATGATTTAATATTGCCCAAAACGAATTGTCAACCTTCAACTTAATATTGGCCTGCTAACTTCCTGATTTCAGGGCTCCTCTGTTCCAGAAAAAAAAAAAATCCTTCTGTGCAGTGGTGTTTTTAAGGTTATGGTGGTTGTGTTGGTAATCGACTGTCACAAAATACACTTTCGGTAAATGGGAAAAAGCATGAATAACAACATAAATGAGGCTGTGGGAACAGCAGAAAATTCAGCTGGCTAGAAATCATCTAGCATTTTTTTTTCCAAAAGTTAGATACTAAAGGAACTTCGCTGAATTTATTTCCTAAGTTAAGTGACAGACAAACAACAGAAAAAAATTGGAATGATTACAACTGCTTCAAGATGAAAATAAAAGCCACTCCATTACTAGCAAGAGGATCTAGCTGAGATAAGGCTGGATAGCCTATAGCTCCGATCAGGACACACTCTGTTTTTTGAGCAGCTAGCAGCACAGAAATCACCAGCCAATTTATTTCTGGACAAGGGAAAACTCCCTTCCCCTGCCTCTCATCTCTCATCTCATGGAGTAACTCCCGGGCCCTGGAGTAACTCATGTGATGAGTGTGTGATGCTCTTGAGAAATGCAAACGTTCAGGCTGAGCAGCTGTTTTGTCTTTCAAAGGACCTGCCTTTGGGTGTGCTCTGCCATTCTGCTAGGGTGTGCAAGAATTTAGCAGCTGTTTCGATACCTGTAATAATTTAGGACAAGTTGGGAGATGTTTCCTTTGACTTGCTTGGACAGTAGCTTAAAAGCTCATTCCTTTATTTCTTAATAACTACACAGATTTTCTGAATTATGGTTCCCAAACCCTGTGTATGGCCAAACATTGGGCTAAGCAATTTTTCCTTTGACATTGCTCTAATCATGACTTGACAGTCAGAAATCATTCAGTTTATTTTAAAATATCTCATTTTGGGGGGAACCTGTTTAGAGAAGGAATGTAGCAGCTTACGCTCTTTGAATTCAAATGAACACTTATTCCCAGTAAAACCCTATAATTTCTTGAAAGAGACTAGTGTCTGAAGTACCCTGTATTTTTCCTTTTTCTGAGCATGTAAAACATATCTGATAGCTCATAGGCCACTTAATAGTGATTGTTCACAAATGTAATTTTTTTTTTAATTGATGACCACTACAGATCAACTGTATGTAGTAAATCTCCAAGTTAAAAGGACTGGCCAGGCTCCCAGCTAGCATAAATCAGTGGAGCCCCAACGCCAACCTTGCTGACTGCAGTCAGCTGAGAACGTGGCCCGCTCTTTGTAAAAGCTTTGTGGCATTCCTTGGAGCTCTAGGCTGTGATCAGCATCGTTTTAATGTCTGTCCTCATGTTCCAGCTCCACGCATCCCGAGTAGCTAGAAAACCACCTTTGAGAACATGGCCTTTTCCAGCCACCTCCCTTCCCTCTCCAGAAAATTTGCTGTTATGGTGCTTGCCGTTCTGTCTCCCTCTCTGTCCATTCCTCACTATGTTCTTTTTCCCTTTTCTTTCTCTTTCCCCCTTTTCCCCACCGATAGATGTACGGTACCCAAACAGCTTAGATGTTGGTAAGATCCCTGGCAGTCCAGCAGATCAAATCCAGATATAGTAGAATTAACTCTGCACGTATTTGCTTTTGGAAGGCACTAAATTATACTGCCTAGATATAATTCTTTTCTTTTTTTTCCCTTTTTTTTTCTTCTTTTTTTTTTTCTAGAAACTTGCATATAATAACACCATACCTTCTCCTCTTGTATTGGAGCTTTTCCCCTAGAACTTGGTGTATTAGTGATGCCCTTCCTTGTTTTTTTTTTTTTAATAAAAAACAGTGAAGCATGAGCTCCTTCCAAATGTGGCCGCATCTCATGCATGTACCCCCCCACGCAGCCACACAATGGCACTCTCAGTGAGGATGTGGCTTTGGTGCTTTTGTTTTAATTGTTTCTTCTCCAGAAGGGTTGTCTCCCGCAGGTTTGTGCAGCTCAGAGTTGGTGGCTTTGCTGTAGCCTGCAAAAGCTGCTCGGAAAGAGCAGCTCACCAGCGTGAGCAATTGGCTGCAGCTGTAATCATCATTTCACATTATACAACGTGCGAATGGCCAGTCCCTCCTCTCCTGGTGTCTCGTTTTATATCCATGTGCAAAGCTGTCACACACCCCACCATCCTAAATAGAAAGTTGAATGCGTAGATAGCAGGGATGTGTAATGTAAACCATACCACCAAACATATTATGAATATATTGCTCTTCTTAAAAATGCTTGTTGGTTTTTCATACTACGGTATTGACTAACTGTCTGTGTTTGATGTATGGTTTACCAGCCTGATGTAGACTTATGGTTAGAGCTTAACTTGTTAGTTCTGCTTTTGCAGCCAATTCAGAATAACTACAGATGCCCCAAGATATTAAAATTGACTGCTCAAATGGACTCAGTGTGGGAGTTTCATTGGTTTTAAATTGATAACAGCTGAAAGAGTGAATGATTAAAGCTGTATATGGGCATAGTATGCAGCTCCTTTGTACAAGCTCTTGTGAACAGAATCCACTGTATGGGAATTGCCTTTGTTCTAATAAAAGATATTTCTGAACATTGTTAGTTTAAATTTTTAAATGATGAAACAAGAACATTTCAGGAGCCTATAGAGGAAATTATTCCTGAGAAACTGGAATAACTTTGAGAAGATAAAGTGGATTTCTATTCAGAGGGGAGCATTTAAAGTTAAGTAGCATTCCATAAGGTGGTAATTGTGTCTATTTCCCAGGCATTTGAGTTAAATAAGCTGGATAGGAAACATAAACTGTCATAACAGGAGGTTAGGGGTGTTGTGTACATCTTTTTTTTCAAGTCATAAAAAATGAAGTTTTTTTCGAAGGGCCTTATCACAAGTAAATCAAACAAAGCCTTTCTTGCTTCTCTTATCCCTTTGGGAGCAGTTCTTATTTTTTGAAAAGAAGTTCTGGATAGTTTCTCTTTAAACAGAGATTTAAAGTATATATACCTATAAAAGAATAAGTAATATTTATGTCTCAGTTACGCATAAATCTGGTTTACAAAAAAATAATGACTTACTGCTCATATAGTGCCTTATTTTCAAAATACTGTACAAATAAATCTTCACTGAGTTTTCCTCAACTCTCCCCATGACCCTTAAGAGTGTAACTGTGGCAGAGTAACTTCTACCATTCCTGTGTTAATGTACAGAAACAGATCCAGCGAAATGCATCGACTAGACCGAGTTGCAGAATATTTGCATGACTCATTGGATCATGTACTTCTTAATATGCATGAATTTTTAGGAGGGAAAAGGAATCCAAACTTGTTGCGTGTGATTGTTTTACTGCTGTCTGCTGTGACGCCCAGTAACTATTACTACAGCCTCCCCTCTCCTATTCAAATGATGAGTGCTTTTTTTCCTAAAGAAAAAGTGTTTTAAAGCTTAATTGCATGATACATATTGTGGCTACATCCGCATACTGAAAGGTAACTAAAATGAGGTTAATCAGTTTGCTCAAGGGAGCCCATATCTTAAAAAAAAAGAATATTGAAAGAATAGTAGAAGAATAGTAGAGAAGATGAGATCTGCAAACAGTTTCCAGCCATTTCAGAATTTCCACCCAGCAATACTGAGTGTCCTGCGTTCATGCAGGAGGTTTTCAGAATAGCTGCAAAATCCTGGAGGTGGTTGGGATGTGCTTATAAGAGAGAAGGCTGCTGAGCCTCGGAGCGCTGCCTTGGCTTCTGCTGTGCATACAGTGGCCATGTGAGCCCAGGGCCCTTCTTTGCCTGCTTTACTGCTGTGCCACTGTTTACAAGCATCTTTGTCACCAAATAAGATGCCTTTTTTTTTTTTTTGCTTCTTTTTAATGTAATTTACATTGGAGAACATTCCATGTTATGCAAAGAATTTGACAGGTCTTTGCTAAAATTTTAAAAAACAATTAAGATGTCACAAGAGGAAGTGCTAGTACATTTTAATCATAAATCTCTGTATATATAATTACCACTGAAGGCAGCTATAAATGTTTTATGAAGAAAATGTAACCAGACTGTGCTTTGTCAGAAACATAACCCCAAAACATGTAACAGACTGCTCGCTAATGCTTGACGCCACACATGCACACAACCTTTTTGAGTGGAGCTCTGTGAACCCAAGGCCTCCATTCCTTCTGCATCCAAAACTCCAACTAACTTCAATTCAGGCTTTGATGCGCTCTATCAGAATGCAGATCACATACATTTCCCTGATATATATCTTTAATCAGAAAGTCCAAAACTCCTGCCAAACCATCCCGTGCGCCTTGCCTTGTTTCCCTGTTTGTTCCTTAGCCGGGGCACTTCGGAAAGAAAAGGCAATCAAATTGCTCTTTAAATCTAAGCTTTGGTAAGAAGCAATAGCGATTGACAGTAGGAAGGCAAAGTTAATGTCACTGCAAAGCAGAGTGTGAACGAAAGGCTTTTGGCCTGCTAAAAGTAAAGTGCGCTGCTCTGCGGAGGGAGCTAATCGTGGTGGGAGATGGTGGGACCGGCTATGGATGAGCATCCCTGTTGCAGGACAGCCAAGGAACATGGAATGCTGCAGAGGAGCGTGGCCACCTCAGCAGGGCCCTGAGATTTAGCGTGTTCCTTGGGCGAGCTCTGCAGAGCAAATCCTCATCTGTGTGTGCAGAAATTTGCAGAGCCTTGACGCCAGTTTCCAAAAGGGAATATGCTGTTGAAATGCTATATGGAGGCTGTCTCTTTGGATAAATGATGATAATGGGGGCCTATTGTTTGAGCATTAAACTGGCTCCTATTGAATAGTTTCCCTCATCTGTTTGATTCATTTTGATTCGAGCTGACAACATCCCTGTTACTGACTGCTCTTTTCATAATTTCTCACAAATATAGAGTGGAGATGAGGTAGATGAAGCTAATTGGTAATCTAAAAAGTTTAATCTGGTTATACTGATATGTTCTGAGACGGATATTCTAAGTTGATCAAAACTTTAAAATCATAAAGACTAAAAAGTAGCAGTGTTAAATGCCAGGGAAACAGCTCAGTTTGTAAGGTAAAGTTGGTGTAAGACTTGCTTACCATCCTCATGGAAACATATTTAATGCCACCCATCCTCTATGTGATGACTGTAAAGAGGCAGAGTACCTAAGGATCAGACATCTAAGACAGGTGGTGATAATAGTCAGTTTGGAGTCAAAATTTCCGCTTTCAAGAGCAACTCTTCCTAAATTTTGACACACAAGTGAGATATCCTCAAAAAATAATTTATTTAGGTGTCCATCAAATACAAAGCAAAAGGAAAGAAAGAAAATGCAAGTTTGTTCACTGTGGTTGTCTCAGAAATCCAGTGTTACCTGCATTTATTTACCACTGTTCCTGAGTGCTTATTTGTCCCTAGACTTGCCAATGGAATATTTTGAGGAAAAAATGCAATGAATTAAGTAGCTGATTACAGTAAAAAAGCCTTGCAAAGAACTAAGAGCCAGCTGCAGGAGCTCACTCCTGTACAGTGTCTGCATAGAGGTATAAAGACACAGATATAGGTATGTATATAGTTACCATCATCATCATAGTTATATCGCTATTTTTGAATGGGTAATTTGATGACCCAAACCCACTTCAAAGTATTACAAGCCTACTGTTAATAATAGTGTGCTTTAATGCATGTTCCTGTTTGTGTTTTTTTTTTCAAATGTAGATCAAATTTTTGGCTCTCATTTGCACTTGGTATGCGAGCATGAAAATTCTACAGTCCCCAAATTTGTAAGACTTTGTATAGAAGCTGTTGAAAGGAGAGGTAAGTACCTTAAGATTTAACACTTTTGAACACTTTTTTTCTCCCTGCATTAATAATCAAAACTTTAACTTTATAACTTGGCTTGAATTGCCAGAGAAGTCAGGCAGTTCATTTTATAATACAATTACGGACTGAAATATATCACATTCTGTATCTTCATCTTCTTAATACACTAAGACATTAATAAAACCTCTTCTTGCTGATTATTCTTTATATTTTGTTTGACATGTTGTTGTTTTAGTCTTTCTCTGGGTAAGCAAATGCTAAACATCGATAAAATGTCAGTAACTTCCATTCTGAAGTCTCTGGTGAATGTAATGCCAATACTTTTCCGTAAGTCCTAAATTCTCTTCAACTAAAATAAATGTTATGCTAGTGTGAAAACACTTTTTTTTCCTTGTGCATGCAGGTGCCTAATTTTTACTGGTATTATAAAAAGCAGTAATATTGTGCCAAAACTGAAATGAGTATTCATTCCCATTGTAAGTTCTGATTAATTTAATAAGTAAGATTTTCATTGTATAAAAAGATGTGCTTAACACCTTTGCCCTCCCTCCTTTCTTTAGAGAATATCTTTTCTCATCGAAGGTCATTTTCTTTGGAAGGTACATGCGGTAGTTGCAGAATCTTAAAATGTATTGTATAAAAATGTGAGGCTTCATCACCATCTGTTACAAGTTTACAACTTGTTCCAGGGATCTGGGGAAACATATATCTTGCAAAAGATAGAAAATTTATTTTCAGAATAAGGCTGGGTGAACCCATTGTCACTGTCATATACTCGACTCTCAGAACTAGAGAACCAATGAAAAAGGAAATGATAGTTGGACCGCCAACCACAAAGGGAAAAGCTATTTTAATTCCGTCGTTGTTACCTGGTTTTATAGGGAAAGGTGCAATAAAACTACCCTGGAGTTTCAAACTCTGTGAAATTCATGCTTTAATTATAGAGCAAAGAGAGCACTGGGATGGTGCTATTCCCTGAGTGATTGGCAGGAAGAAGAGATCACCAAAGCGGCGGCTGTTCGGTAGGGGGAGATAGTAGCATTGGATTTTTTGGAGGCTGCCTGGAGGCTGGATGAAAGCAAGAGACAAAGAAAGGGGATAAGTGTGAGAAGTGACTATTAATAGGGGAGGAATTGTAAGGAGACATTCAGGACATGAAAAGGAAAGATGGAGATTAGATTATAGAAATGCCAAGGCATGCAGAACATGTCTAATTGACTGTTCTGTTACAAGCTCCGTGCAGGTTCTCCGAACGAGGCGCTAGATATTTCCTAGATATTTTGCGGTATCTGACCGTTCTTCCAGCAGAAGTGAGGCCAAAAGTGCTCAGCATTGCTGAACTGTAACAGCAAAATCCAAGACTCCCGATTAGATGTTTATTTTCTGTATGATTACCAGAGAAAGGCAGGCAGGAAAACACGAAAATGCCACTGTTTGCTCTCGGAGGAGCTCAGCCTTCAATGTGTGGCGTTGCCATTCTTGTTCTTCGTGCAAAGTTGCTGTAACTTTGAGAAAAGTCTATCACTTGTAGTTAGTCTAGCATGTAAATAAAAACTAATCGTATGGCGTGAGATAAAATTTTCATTTTATCACTGTATTTACGAGTTTATATTTGATTTACAGTTTTTCTATTATCATTTTCTTGGATTAGGATCCTTGCATTTACTTACATTCTATTTACTCAAAGTGTTGTTTTTACTAAATTCTGGCATAAACTATCTCAGGACAGCAGTAATTTATGTGAAGCTAAGTCCAATGTTTATGCAAGCTTCTGATGACATTTTATACCGGGGTTGGTATTAGGAAGCAGTATGTGGAGGTGCCAAGTCTCCCGGCATGGCTGAGACTCAACAGATCTGAAGCCCTCCTCTTAATGGCCAGATATGCCTCAAGCCAAGATACTCAACTGCAGAGTCATGGGAAATACTTATGTACCAATTATGGGAAAGGCACATTTAATGAAAACTGTATGTTTACTTTCATAGTCTTAGTAAGATGGCCTAAATACTCAGTACAGCTGGCATATTGGCTGTTGTAGAAAAGCTTTTTCTTTTTTTTCCTTCTTTTCCTGAAGTTGCTTTTTTTTTTTCCTATGTAGAAAATATATCATCCACATATTGTAACTGTACCAAAAATGTTACTTGCATGCTTCATTTAAGATAAAAGATTATCAGGAATAAAGGCCTTAGGAGATTAAACCTAAATGTTACTTACGTAACATTAATATTTTTCTCTATGGGTGTATTCTTCTTTATCAACTCATGGCCCTAATGATTATTTTATCATACTATTTAGTTATTGACTGTCCTGGACAAGCACTATTTCCTTTTCAGATTTTTAAAACATTATCACTGGGTATAGAAAGGACGGCTAGCGGTGATCTAAATAAGCCATATTAATTAGCACATTTTCCCATGTAGATGACGTTACATACAGTAGACAAACTATAGTAATATTCACCCGCAGATTAAAAATGTAGAGTGTCATTAACTGTTGGCAGGATTTCCTTTTTAGTTACACTATTTTATATGAATGTAGATACATTGAAATCACAAGGACTATGCTGAGGTTAATTTGCTGCAACTTAGATCAGATTTTGGTCATTTGTCCCTTCGAATACTCTGCTTATTCATCATCTCAGTACAGAGGTGCCTGGGTTAAGGCCTGGGCAACTAAACGTCTCCCAGCCCAATGCATGTTTATCTGTCCGACAGGGATTCACTTGTTTAGTTGCAAATCTCATTTTTCAGTCTCTTGCTGTCAGTAGTTATTGAAATAGAACTGGGAAGCAGAGGGGTTTTCACTACTTCATTTAATCTTGCAATCAGCCATATTGCGGAGCCGCGAGCATCAAGACAGTCAATAAAAATATTGCGCCCATTCTTGTAAACTTGCGAGGCAATTGTCACATTTAACTTTTTTAGAAGCAAGTTCTTTTTTCTCTCTCTCTCTCTTTCCGATTTATTTATTCATTCATAACTTTTGACGAACCTCTTGACTCAAGCATTTCATCATCGAGACCTCAGTCACTGAAGTCCACAGTGCCCAGCCAGAAAGTGTTTCCCCCTGGATATCTACTATGATATTCCATGTAGAAAAAACTCTCATGGATGTTACATACCCCAGCAGGCATAGAAATACATGCTGCACCATGGCAGTGGCCAGGCTGAAAATATCCCATAGGTTTTTATGGAGGAATCCAATCCATTTTTTTCTTCCATTCCGTCACTTTGCCATCAACATCTACCTTGGATGTGCCCTGGCTTTTCCTGCCTGTTGAGCTGCCTTTTCCCTGTGGTCGCCCCAGTTTCAGCAGAAAGGGTCTGACAGGTATCCCGGCCCGTGCTGAGCTTGGGATAACCCTGGGAGCGCGCTGCCATTCCCATGCCGCGCGGCCTGCCAAGGGTGGGACTTGCTGCAAGATTTTTGGTGTTTTAGGCCAGATATTATTTCCAGTCATTTATCGTGCTGCGTATTTATTTTGTTATCCACGACCCATTAAAATCTCTGGCTGTTTTTTCTTTTTTTTTTTTTCCCCTCCTTTTTTAAATAACTCAAAGGCATGAGCAGAACGCATTAAAAAAAATAAAAATACCAGTCCTACTAGTACCTCAACCAAATGCCATCCAGTACTCAGAGCAATGTTGTGTCTTGTGAACATAGTTCAATGCTAAAGTCTTTTGCAGAGGGACCACTCGTTTGCGTGCCTAATGACCAGGGTAAATGAGCATCCTCCTCCCGCGCATCCAGGGCATCCAGCACGTTTTGAAAGGAAATAGCACTGCTGCCTGGGGAAAATGCAGTGTGGCTCCCATCTCACACGTGAAACACCTTTCATTTTCCCCTTCCATTCCCAAATCCTAGTTAGTGTTCTGGAATTGGCCCAAAGGGCCGGATAACGGCGCCGCGGGCAGCAAGGCTGGCGATCACAGGTACCGTTGCCATTCTAAGCTGGACATTGCAGACATTGTTTTCTGTTGCTTTTCTTGGAGCACAGGATGCTCTGACAGGAATGATACACAAAATTACATATTTGATTCAGTGCCTAAAAGCCACCCTGGGATCCATAACCTTGCTTAAAGATTTAAGAAGGACCTTTAGTCCACTTCTGAGAAGGTTCTTAGCTTAGAAAACTTTATCTTTCAACTTTACTTCTTAGCAGCTGTTATATTTTTTTGCTGTCGTTTGTTTGACAGGATCCAGTTATAGGTTCCGATGTCTGTTTAAAGAAACAGGGAGGTTGTTGGCTTTAAAATTCCCTTACTGCTTGTGTGTTCAACATTTTCCCAGGCTTTTCTACATAGTTTGCCAAGTAAAGGGACTGACCTTTTGTAGCAAACACTTTTTCATTTCTAAATGCTCACTTTGATTTTTGTCCCATTTTATGCTCATTCCAAACTGTTTACAACCCACTAAAAATGACTGTGAATTATATGTTTGTGTAATGGATTCCTTTTGTGGTCGGAGTGGAATGTTTACTTTGAACAATTAGTTATCTTTGGGTAGATTATAGTGACCTGAAAAAAGAATGGCTAAAGTTATTATAGTACCTTAACTATTTCCTTTTGTTATCTGTCTCCTGCGTTTGCCCAGGGTATTATTTACGGGGTTTAATCGTGTTGAACCAGAGCGAAGGCAAAAATCCCTGCGTGCAAAAATCTCAGAGCTCACAGATTTGCAGGACCTTCGTCCTGTTGGGTTATGGCTGTGGGTGAGACTTCGGGAGGGCCCATTAGGCCCCCGCGTTCTGGGTGAGCTATTTTAGGAGGATACAGTTTGGAAGACTTTTCCAGCAGCTGCTTTCTGGAAATCAGATTTCTTAAAAGCGTCAGAAGTTTGACACCCTAAAGCTGGAAGGATCTAAAATCGGGCATGAGTTTGCTTCCAGAAGTGCAGTTTGATTTTCCATAATATCGTTATAGATATGTGCACACACATGAGATCCCATGTCTTTGAATATTCAGTGTTTGAGGAAGAAAATTTCACAATGAACA